CCACTACGCTTACCAGAGCGCCTTCTCCAGGTATATAGTGCCGGATAAAGTACTGGGTAATTATCCTCCATTGTGTGAACTAATGTAATTATTGTATGTGCTATAAATTCTGACCTCTGAACTAATGAAGCAGGATTATAGGCTATGTTACTATGTTACAATGTTGTTATGTCACTATGTTGCGGTCACCATGTTACAATGTTGCCGTGTTACTATGTTGGCATGTTGCTACATTACTATGTTGCTATGTTACTGAGGCAGGATACAATCTATAGGATTCAGTTGTATTTTGTCAATTTCATTTTTTTTTTTTTTAGAAATTTACAATATGAAGAAAAAACATAAGCTCTTCTCAGATATAAAAGAAATTAAACAAATGAGCAGAGTTCTGAGGACCTACTACCATCGAGAAAGATGAGCAGGGTGTGTGGCCTTTGGACCCGTGGCTTCCTGAGCAGAGAATTTCTGAGACCCAGGGAGAGAGCCCTGGTGTGGCGCTGTGAGTTAATGCACTGGACTGCAAGGTTGATTTGAACCACAAGGTTGGCAGTTCAAGCTCACCAGCCGCTCCTTAGAAACCCTACACAGGGTTGCTATGTGTCAGAACCGACTCCACAACACGTAAAAGGGGAAGATTGATGTCAAGCAGGAGGGAGAGCTCTAAGGGAAACCAGGCCCACAGATGCCGAGACCAGGACCTTCCTCCTAACCTTCTGCTCTGTGAAGTCGAGCTGGGGTTTCTCAGGTACATGAGCATCTGTGAGGAGCAAGTGTTCACTACAGGCAGAGGAATAGCCTGGCTGACCTCTGGGACCCCAGGGTGGGCTGTACAGGGCTTTGGCAGCAGAATCCTGCTGAGACTGGACCATGGACCAGAGATCTTGTGGGGTCATCCTTTGAGAAAGCTCCCTGGCCCTGACACTGCTTCCTGTCTCCCTATTTTATACTCTTGTTTCCTTTAAGGTTCTCATCATCATTGCCACTTTCCACATGACTGGCTGGAGACCATATTAATGTCTGTCTCCTTCATGGCCGGGTGAGTGTGGAAGGGCAGGACCTGGGCTCATCTGATCCATCCTTTCACCCTAGCACTTAGCTCCTGTTTGCTCAGTGAGTGCATCAGATATGCCTGGAACACAATTGGGGGCCTTCGCTCCTTTCTCCAAGCCTCAGCACACTTGACCGTTTCCTTTGGAGGTGTGATGAGCTCAAATTTCCCCAAATGTTTGTAGCACCAGCTGCCCTGCCCTGCTCCCCTCCAGTCTCAGCGGCATGCTGCCTCACAATCCTGGGGACCTGTCCCCCAGGGACTAGGGTGGTTTCCAAGAATGGAAACCTCCATGTGGCAATTTCTCCCTCGCTGCAGTCTGCCTCTCTCCCAATCCAGGTCCCCCTTTCCCTTCCCAGCACACCAGCAGCCTGAGCCCAGGTGGCTGTAGGGATGAGGCCCTCTGAGACCTGGGTTCTCACCTTGGCCAGGATGGGGCCTGGCACACTCAGGAGCCCACGGGAGAAGTCAACACATGTCTCTGTAAATGCTTCTGCTCAGAAATCCACAGTGTTGTAATTTTCACAACAGGGCAAGCTGAAGCTTGAGAGGAAACAGAAGCAAATTCATGTATGTGCAGGCCTCTGCAGCCTTACACACATGTGCACCTTATTCCTGAAGAAACCAGCGACCACTCTGTGCACGGTGCCATCGACACGGGACTGTCGGGGAGATGAGGCTCTACTTGCCAAAACAAGAATTTCATCTTCTTAACACAAACTTTAAAAAGGCAGGTTTAAAATTTTTTCTCAGAAAGTTTCCTCCATGAGCAAACCTGTTTTAAGTAGAAATAAATACAGTTTGTACAAGACGACTCACCTAAAGGTTGGTTGTTCAAATCTATTCAATGGTGCTGTGGAAGAAGTCCCAGCAGTCTGTTTCCATAAAGTTCACAAGAAAACACTATGGGCCAATTCTACTCTGTAACGCATGGGGTCGCCATGGATTGGAATTGACTGGACAACAATGGGTATTTTGCTTGTCTTTTGTGTTGCAGGCAGAGATCCCACAGTGAAGAGGACTGGGCAGGCTGGGCAGCTGCCCCTGCCTCTGGGGCCTCTTCTTTTCAGCAGAATCCTGGAGGTTCTGGCCCTTGATGGTGGGGTCAGTGCTTGTAAGAGTGAGTGAGTGCAACGTTATTAGTGGACTGTGTAAAGGGTTTCATTGAAAATGTCAGCAATTATGAACACAGCAAGTTTGTCTCTATAGACTCGCACGTCCAGCTTCCATTACTGAGTGTGGAAATCAGGCGAGTATAGAGAACTCAAAGTGAATCTTATAAATAACTTAGAAACAACACCATACCCACTTTTCCTTCTCTGATTTGATTATTCCTTCATTTATTAATTCTGAAATAGTTGTATTTTTTTTGTAGTATTTACATAATCATGTAAACTATAACTACTCCAGAATACATAACTGTGCTCATGAGGAGCCTGTGCATAGACCAAGAAGCAGTTACTCAAACAGA